ATTGGTGTACAAACATCTTAACTGTTGCTGCTTGGCTTCACTCAGATTCTTCACCTGATTGAGTACAGTTATTTTACTTACAGTATTGCCTACTTGACTGTTAGCTTCATTGGTATTGGCACTATCTTTCCTCTTACTGTCCATTCTCCTACCTACAGATCTTCCTTTCTCCATTGGTGTATTCTCTCTTGATTTTCTTCCTGGTCAATATTAGGATAAAGTGTGGGGATTACGTGTGCATCTCCCAGCTGTCTACCCCCAAGTTCCTAGTTTAAAGCTCTGTTAATCAGTTGTGCCGTCCTCCACCCCAGCAGTCTATTTTCCTCCCTACTCAGGTGGAGTCCATCCAATGAGAACAGTCCTCTGTCTGTGAATGTCTCTCAGCCATGAAATATCCCAAAGCCCTCCTTATAGCACCACTGCCTGAGGCATCTTGATCATCATAATCTTGTCTTGTCTTCCCTCTTCTCCTCTAGGGACAGGCAGAATCTCACTGAAGATCATCTGAGCCTCCATTTCTTTAAGCGTCTTCCCCAGCTTGGCATAGTCTCCTTTGACACGTTCCAGTGAGAATCTAGCTGTGTCATTTGTTCCCATATGAAGGACAATCAGTGAATTCTTTCCTGCTCCCATTAGAATCCCCTTCAGCCTCAGATCCACATACTGTATCTTAGCTCCTGGCAGACAGCACACCCTTCTATTCTCTGGATCAGCTTTGGTGACAGTCTGTTGAAATGGATCTTTAATGGCCCACAGCTGGGCAGATTGTTACCAGCACCAGTAGAAATTCAGAAAACAATATCCTTAATGCATAGTAATTTATTTGAGAAAGAATCATACAAGCAGTAAAGGTTACATAATGCACATCTCCTTAATAAGCTTCAATTCCCCAAGCATAAACCTTCAGTAACTGTGTTGGCCTTACACAGTATCTTGATTAGCAAACAAAGCAGGTATAGCTACCGATTCTAGATGGAGACTTCTTTTCTTCCGTTCTTTCCCCTCTCAGGTACTTGGTCTGTCAAATATCCCCTGGAAGCAGGGTCTTGGTTACTCCGAGGCCCTCTGGTTCAAAAGTCCCACAAAAGTCCCTCAAAGCAGCATCTTGGTTACCCTGTGGCCTTCTGTCTCACAGCGTCATGAACCTCTTCAAATGTTAATCGGGGAACTAACTTAACTAATTTACTTAGCTTAGCATTTATAACTTGTTCTCAAAGGAGTCACATGTCCCAGAAATATGCCCTGTGGTTTTCTCTAATTAATATTTTAGAAGGGACTGCAAAATAGGCACAGATCAATCAATTGTTACCCTCTCATCAATCATTCATTTAAGCTTTTAGCATGATGCCATCCAAAAAAGGGTCATTTTGACCCTGAGTCAGCCTGTACCAAGCCCACTGATTGCATGATTTTATGTCTTCTTTACTTTGGTGAGCTGGTTTCCCCGGCAGATATATTCCAAAGTTTGATGTTGAAACATAAATGCAGCTAGAACTTTTATTAACTATTTAAGTACAATTTCAGCACTTCCAGTACATTTTCCACACCATCTATATAATGCTAAGCGAATGCTGCTCCCAGAATCCTCTAGCAAATTCAGACGCACCAAGCCATATCAAACTCATGCTTGCCACATTTATTCATATCAATCACAGAATTTCATAATAATTCAGCATCGTCCCAACTCAGGCCTGTCTGTTCTTCTTAGTTAGGGTACGTCTACACTACGAGATTAATTCGAATTTAGATAATTCGAATTTGGGAAACAGATTGTATAAATTCGATTGTGCGCGGCCACACTAAGCACATTAATTCGGTTTTTAACCACATTAATTCGGTGGTGTGCGGCCACACTACCCCATTAATTTTAACCACATTAATTCGGTGGTGTGCGGCCACACTACCCCTAATTCGAATTTACAAAATCGATTTTGGTGCTACTCCGCTCGTCGGGGTGGAGTACAGAAATCGATTTTAAGTGCCCTTTAATTCGAAGTAACTGGCTCCGTTGTGTGGACGGGTTAAGGATTAATTCGGATTAACGCAGCTAAATCCGAATTAAAGTCGTAGTGTAGACCAGGCCTAGGGAGTCCCCAATCACATAGACCTGCTTTTTCCTGGTGTTGGTGTGATTTTCCTGCCTTCATCCTGTTCCTTCTGGCTGCAATTCCTCTTGACTTTTGTTCTCCCTTGCAATCTTAGCACTTCTTAGGAATGTGTATTTTTGCAATATTAGCCCTGTTCTCGCCAGATTCTGTGAGCAGGTCCTGCCTCATACCAGGCCTCTGATACAAGGGCTTATGTCTCAAGCTCTCTTCCTACTACAGGTTCCAGTCTAGCAAACAGTTTTCCACAGGTTAATTGTTCTGGTTGCAGGCATTAGCCAGCTCACAAAATTTAGAGACAGAGCTCACCCATTTTTTAATCCTCTCTGGATTGGTCTTGACTAGGAAAAGTGTCTGAGTTTAGTGCAGGGTCAGCTAACACGTGCTGGCTAAGCCTGTCCTAACTTGACCCGTTTTCCAGTGCACATACAGTGAGACACCATTAGCTCAGTTTTAGCTGGTCAAGTTGCAGTCTAGGCGGTTGTGAGAGATCAGCATGCATTACCTATGAAAGCAATCCACCTCCCCTCTGGCAGGGCCGGCTTTAGGAAGTGCGGGGCCCAATTCGAACAGTTTCGACGGGGCTCCAGCAGGGATGACTAAAAAAAAAGCCACTTAAAAAGAACCCTTTCATTTCTTCCATGTATTATTTACTTTCCATGACTATATAAATAATAACAAAATTATATATTACATACATTGCGTCATATATTAATTAGCTGATTTTCACTTTCATATTAGGAAAATAATTCATGGTTTGATAGTTGTACAACTGATTTTCTTCAATAATGTTTATTTTATTAAAATTTATAAAATATTTCCTTATTAATATAAAATTGTGCCCTCCTCTCCCCCCCCCCCCAAGTATAAAGCCTCATTCAAAGACCCAGGGTCACTATGTTACTGCACAAAGCAGTCAATCAGTGCAGTTGAAGATAAATCTCTGCATTATGCATTTTTGTATAACTTTTATATGACTTTGTATTGAACCTTGGTAATGTTATAGCTGGCCCCTAAGGTAGTATAATTAAGGTAAAAGAAAAATGTCTTTTTGCTAGAAGTAGAATAAGATCTTCCCCCCCACTTTGTAATCAATTGACCTGTTGAATGAATGAGGTGTGAATGAGGAAGGTGTGGAAGGCAGGCACTTCCAGACAGCTGCAACCCTTGGAGAGGGGCTGGGAGCCAGCCAAGGAGAGCTTTGCCCAGGGCTGAGTGGGACAGAGTTTGGGTGCAGGCTCCGGGCTGGGGCACGGTGTGGGGTGCAGGATGGGTGGAGGGGTGCAGGCTCTGGGAGGGAGTGCGGAGGGGTGGGTGCAGGCTCTGGGACAGAGTTTGGGGGCCGGAGAGGGGGTGCTGGGGGGGAGGGGACTGCCATCACATGTGGCTTCCTTCCTCCCCTGCTGCCCCTCACCATAGCCTCGGTGGGGGATGGGGCTGCCCCTTGCCCAGTGTTTGCAGGAGTGGTGGCTGGGGGGAAACCCAGTCAAACTCTGGTTTTACTCTTTCATTGATGGGTCACTTTAACCCCTTACAAACCCCTTCCCGCCTCTCTCACCCCCCTTTTCTACTGGGCTTGTTTGATCTTTTCGGTGGAGCCAGATGAAAACCACAAATCCCAGCGAGAGCAACAGGCTGGAAGACTAGACTGAACCCACCACCCACCCAGTCTAGTCCATCCCAGAGCCCAGGACTGAGGGCAAATGTCCCCCCAACCCCGGGCCACCTGCTTCCACTCCTGGCCTCTCCTAGCGCCGCCAGAGATTCTGTGTGGCTGCATCGGGTGGGATTTCAACCGGAACCCCCCCCCCCGCTAAATTCACCCCTGTTTTGCGACCACTCTGCACCAAGAGTACCTTCCTTCCCTGCCCTGGAGCTGCCGGATGGCTAGAAAGCTGAGCTGGGTGTTTGATTGATCCGGAATATTATTGTGCCCCCCCCAAAAAATCTTAATGTCCACACAGCTTTTGGGGGGGGATATTCCCCCCTCCTCCCAAGCCGGTTTATTTTATTGTTGCAGGGCAAATGAAGGAGCCAGAGTTTAATGGAAATATTCAGCCCCTACAGTGGTCTTGCAGCAGGGGAAGCAGAGTTGATGGAAAGGGAACTGGTTTGGATAGGAGCCCCCCGTCCCCCTCCTTTGCAAAATAATTTGGGGAGGGGAATCAGATCACTCTGTGCCTCAGTTTCCCCTCTCTCAGGGGAGAAGGGAGAGATAAAAGTCTCAGCCTGCCGTGTTGCAGACCTTTCGCATTCTCCCCCCTTGATGTATTTGATTTCCTCCTCCAAACCTCCCTCTCTCTCTCTCACCTGGAATTCACAGCACTAAGTACCGGCTCGGGGCTTTCTTCCTGGGTTACATGATCCTGAGTTTAGTTTTGAAACAGACACAGGCAGGCACAAACTCACCCTCAAACAGCAACACCACCAAAAACCACAAAGCCAACCCAATATTACAAACCTATGGGGAATCACGGGGTCAAACAGTCACCGACCGAAGCCCCAGCAGCTGCTAAGGTGAGTGAGGTCCACTGCAGAGATTCCTGTCTCCCACCGGACCGGAAGCCCCATAGGTGTCCCCTCCAGGTGAGTGCTGGGGAGAGGGGAGGGAAAGGCTGCAAAGTACATGTGCCTTCTCCTCCCCTCCCCCCTCCTGACCGCAACAGCCGCTGCTGCCTCTGCCTCAGCCCCTGCCGGCCAGCGTCTCTGGTTGACTAGCAGCAACAGCTGCTGCTTCCGGGAGAGCCACAGAGCTTTGCTTCAGGCAGGGACACTGCCCGATCTGCGCGGGGCCCTCTTAGGGGCGGGGCCCAATTCAGGGGAATCTGTGGAATCGGCCTAAAGCCGGCCCTGCCCTCTGGTCTAACTTTCTGTGTGTCTTGGTTCCTTTAACAGTGAATTTCAAGGTGATTGGACCTGATCATCCCATCACGGTCTCTGCAGGGGAAGATGCCCTGTTACCCTGTCACCTCTCCCCCAGCATGAATGCTCAGGAGATGGAGGTGCGCTGGTTCCAATCCAAGGACTCTGAACTTGTCCATCTGTATCAGGATGGAAAAGATCAGACTGAGCTGCAAATATCAAAATATCGGGACAGAACAGAGCTGCTGAAGGACGGTATTGTGGATGGAAGAGTTGCCCTGCATATACGCAACATCACCCCCTCTGACCAAGGACAGTTTATCTGTTTCTTCCGATCACCCAGCTTTTTTGGGGAAGCCACTCTGGAACTGAAGGTGACAGGTCAGTAACTTGGCTGCTAATTTGAGTTCCCAGAAGAAGAAGAATTTATTTTGAGGTGTAACTTAATGTGTCTCATTTTCATACCAGTATCCAGAATTCCCTTCTATCTGTCTAGCAGAGAAAGGTGTAATACACACTAATGGCTGGAAGTTGAAACTAGAGAAATTCAGACTGGAAATAAGGCATAATTTTTTAATAGAGTTGTCATAAACAGACAGTTAAGGGTTAATGCCTCTTTTACCTGTAAAGGGTTAAGAAGTTCACCTAGCCTAGCTGACACCTGACCAGAGGAACCAATGGGGGGACAAAATGTTTCAAAAGGAAGGAGGGAAGTTCCCTTTGTCTGGGTCAGTTTTCAGTTTTGACCGGAGTGGGAAAGCTCCAGAAATCAGCCTCTTATCAAATAGTGAGTATTAGTGAAGGGAATGAATAGGTTTATGTTTATTTTCTTTGTAACTTGTCTTGGGCATTAGGGAATAATCAAATTGGGTAATTTTTGTGTAATTAAGTTTTGGCCCAGGGGAACATCCTCTGTGTTTTGAATCTGTTGTCTGTGAGATCAGCTTGTATGCTATCTCCGGGAGGGTTTTCTTTTACCTTCCTTAATTAAAAGTCTTATTTTTAAGAACCTGATTGATTTTTCCTTGTGTTAAGATCCATGGGGATTGGATCTTGACTCACCAGGAATAGGTGGGGGAAAGGAGGGGGGTGGTTAAATTCTCCTTGTGTTAAGATCCAAGGGTTTGGATCGGTGTTCACCAGGAAATTGATGAAGAAGTCTCTCAAGGCTACCCAGGGAAGGGAGTTAGTACTTGGGAGTGGTGGCAGCAAAACCAGATCTAAGCTGGTAATTCAGTTTAGGGGTTCACATGCAGGTCCCCATATCTGTACTCTAAAGTCCAGAGTGGGGGTGAAACCTATGACAAGAGTAATTAACCATTGGAACAATTTACCAAGATTTGTGGTGGATTCTCCATCCCTTGCAATTTTAAAATCAAGATTGACTGTTTTTTTCTAAAAAACCTGCTCTCAGAATCATTTTGGGGGCAGTTCTCTGGCCTGTGTTATGCGGGAGGTCAGACCAGATGATCACAGTGGTCCCTTCCGGCCTTGGAATCTATGAATCTGTGAATGAACCCATGAAAGCTTTTTTAAAGACTATTAAAATATATAAAATTATATATATATATATATATGTAAAAAACTGTCAGGGACAGTATTTGGTCCTGCTAATGAAGGCAGGGGACTGGACTCAATGACCTTTCAAGGTCCCTTCCAGTTCTATGAGATAGGTATATCTCCATATATTAGATCTTTAATCTTTGAGAAAACAGCAAGAGGAGATAAAAAGGTGAATAAAAATACTTTAAAATCAGCTCTAGTTTCTTGCTGCACAACTTCTAAGGGCATGTGTAGGAGTAGGATGGCTGATACTCACCGCTCATCCAGGTGCAGTGCATCACAAGAGGAGCGAGGCTCAGTGGTATCAGCCATCAGTAAGGCTATGTTTTAGTCACGGGTATTTTTATTAAAAGTCATGGACAGGTCACAGGCAGTAAACAAAAATTCACGGGCCCGTGACTTGTCCGTGACTTTTACTAAAAATACCTCTGACTAAAACTGGGAGGGGACTCAGGGGGCACCACGGGTGTTGGGAGGGAGGATGTAGTCCGGAGAAGCGCCGTGGGTGCTGGGGAGGGGGGCTCAGCTCGGGGAAGTGCCACGGGTTCTGGGGAGGGGGGCGCAGCCTGGGGGGGCACCATGGTGCTGGGGAGGGGGGTACGGGTGCTCAGGGGTGAGTCACGGCACTATTCCTACACTACGCTTGGACGTATCTGTGGATACGACAAATGGTTGGTTGAAGTCCGTGGCCCTCAGTACAGGGTCAGACGTAAGGGCTGCCTTAAGCTGGTTAAAGGCTTTGTGACACTTCTTAGTCCACTGAACTGCATTTGGCTGTTTTTTCCTGGTCAGGTCTGTAAGTGGGGTGGAAATTTGGCTGTAGTGTGGTACAAATCATCTGTAATACCCGGCCAAGCCCAGGAAGGTTTGGACCTACTTTTTTGACTTAGGGACAGGCCAATTTTGGATAGCATTTACCTTATCCTGTAGGGGGTTGATAGTACCTTGACCCACCTGGTGTCCAAGGTACATTACCCTGTTAAGGTCTATTTGACACTTTTTGGCCTTAACGGTTAATCCTGCCTCCCTTATGTGCTGGAAGACAGCTTGGAGGTGTTCCAGGTGTTCTGCCCATGAATCTGAGAATATAGCCACATCGTCAAGCCAGGTGACTTCAAATTCCCCAAATTCAGCCAGAAGGTTATCTACCAGTCTCTGGAAGGTGGTGGGTGCATTTCGCAGTCCAAAAGGGAGCGCATTAAATTCATACAGCCCCACATGGGTGATGAAGGCTGACCTTTCCTTGGCTGGATCATCTAGCAGCATTTACCAGTACCCCTTAGTTAAGTCTAAGGTGGAGATGAACAGGTCACGTCCCAGTTTCTCCAACAGCTCATCTGTGCATGGCATTGGATAGTTTTCTGGGCGAGTTACAGCATTTAGCTTATGGTAGTCCACACAAAAGCGGATTTCCCTATCTGGTTTGGGAACCAGAACCACTGGAGAAGCTCATGCACTCTCAGAGGGGCGGATTACACCCATCTGTAACATGTCCTTGATCTCCCTTTCTATTGCGCTTTTGGCTTGAGGAGCCATCTGGTAGGGTTGGGCTCTAATTGGGCGAGCATCACCTGTGTCAATGGAGTGGTACGCCCATTCTGTCTATCCTGGGGTCACTGAAAACATCGGCGTGAAGCTGGTACACAGCTCCTGAATTTTCTGTCGCTGCTTACGCCCAAGGGTCATGGAAAGACTCACCTCTTTCACGCCACCGTTGCTTTTTTCTTCATAGTATACTCCTTCAGGCCACTCAGCGTTGTCTCTCTCCTGGGCTGTAAACTGGAGAACCTTGATTTCTCGGGAATAAAAGGGCTTTAGAGAATTAACATGGTATACTTTAGGTTTTAGGGTAGGGTCTGGGAACGCTATGATGTAATTAACAGTTCCCAGATGTTCTCGGACCATAAATGGACCCTCCCACAATACTTCCATTTTATTGGCCTGGAGCGCTTTCAGTACCATGACTTGGTCACCTACTTTGAAGGAACACTCTCTGGCATGTTTATCATACCAGGCCTTTTGCTCTTGTTGAGCATGTTGTAGGTTTTCTCGAGCAAAGGCTAGAGAGTCTTTGAGGGTGTTTTGCAGCTTGGTTACAAAGTCCAAAATGTTAGTTCCTGGAGAAGATGTAACCTCCTCCCATTGCTGCTTCACTAACTGTAATGGCCCCTTAACTTCATGACCATAAACGAGTTCAAAGGGTGAAAATCCCAAATTGGGATATGGTACAGCCCTGTAGGCAAAGAGCAACTGCTGCAACACTAGGTCCTAATAATTGGAGTGTTCGTTCACAAATTTATGTATCATTGCCCCCAAAGTCCCATTAAACTTCTCCACTAGGCCATTCGTTTGATGGTGGTAAGGTGTGGCAACCAAGTGGTTCACCCCATGAGCTTCCCAAAGATGTTTCATGGTCCCTGCCAGGAAGTTAGTTCCCGAATCTGTAAGGATGTCGGAGGGCCAACCTACCCTGGCAAAAATGTCTGCCAATGCCTGGCTTACACTTTTAGCCCTGGTGTTGCTTAGAGCTACTGCTTCTGGCCATCGGGTGGCAAAATCCATGAAAGTCAGTATGTACAGCTTTCCTCTGGGTGTCTTCTTAGGGAAAGGACCCAGAATATCCTCAGCTACTCACTTAAATGGAACCTCAATTATGGGGAGCGGCTAGAGAGGGGCCTTGACCTGGTCTTGGGACTTTCCCACCCTCTGGCACAACTCACAAGACCAGACATAGGTAGAAATGTCCTTGCCCATTTCCTCCCAGTGGAATGACTTCCCCAAACGGTCCTTGGTCCTGTTCACCCCAGCATAGCCACTAGGGTGATCATGGGCTAAGCTCAAGAGCTTTCCCCTATACTTAGTTGGAACTACCAACTGTCTCTGAGGATGCCAGTCCTCCTTGTGCCCACCAGAAAGAGTCTCTTTGTATAAGAGTCCTCCTTCTATAACAAACTTGGACCTGTTAGAAGAGCTGAGACGCGGTGGGTTGCTCTGTGCTGCCGTCCAAGCTCCCTTGAGTCTCTCATCTGCTTCCTGCTCTGCCTGGAACTGCTCCCTTGATGCTGGAGACATTAGTTCCTTGCTGGGTTGGGGACTTGGGCTTGGTCCCGCTGGAAGCAATGCAGGTGATGTTGTTTCCGTTAACTGTGAACCGCTCTCTGCTGGTGCACTAGGTGGTATTTCAGGCTCCGGTTGAGCCTCTTGTGCCGGTTTAGCTGCTGCTGCAGGTGCAGGCTCTGTGGTGCCCTTTGGTGCTGGCTCCCCTGACTCTGGTGGGGTTCCAAGCACGGGCTCTAGTGCTGACTGCTCCATCAGTTCCCATCCTTGGGCTGGTTCTGGCTGGGTTCCAGGAACTGGATCTACAACTGCTGCTATAGACTCTGGTTTGGGGCTTGGTTCCACCACCTCTGGCTGGGTTCCTGTAGGAGGCTCAGGAATGGAGTTAGGTCTGGAGGCCTGTTTAGCCTGGCTGCGGGTGACCATCCGCACCCTTTTTGTTAGACTACATGGTTGGCTAAGTCTTCTCCCAGCAGCATGGGAATGGGATAATCATCATAGACTGCAAAAGTCCATATTACTGGACAGGTAACCTTGTACTGGACAGGCAACTTGGCTGTAGGCAAGTTAAAAGAGTTGGCCTTAAAGGGTTGCACCGTCACTTGGGCCTCTGGGTCGATGAATTTGGGGTCCACCAGGGATTGGTGGATCGCTGACACTTGTGCGCCAGTGTCTCTTCACGCAGTAATCTTCCTCCCGCCCACACTCACAGTTTCCCTTTGCTCTGGGGGTATTTGCGAGGCATCTGGGCCTGAAGCAGT